ACAAATGTAAACTAACACAGCACACAAAACGACTTCGGGAAGTATTCAGCAGCTCGGAGACCATTTCAGGAGCCATGTTATAGGCCAAGCGCTGGGCTGAGACAAGGGTCAGCGCGAGGCTGACCACTGGTGCTCAGAGACTCAGGTACACAAAGCATGAGCTGTGGGACGACAGGACATTACCAGCTCTACCCTCAGCATTGCGCTCTAAGAGTTGATCCTCATCCCAGCAGGTCACATTGTTCACTCTCCCAGAAGGTCCCTGTACTTCTTCAAGAATGATGCATACGCTAGCAGCGACCAATGGATCTGCGCACCTTCAGAATGCACTGTGAGCAGGCCGGGCGGTGGTGCTGCACGCCTTTAATCCCAGCACTCGGGAGGCAGAGGCAGGTGGATCTCTGTGAGTTCGAGGCCGGGCTGGACCGATAGCCTCCGAAACAATACAGAGAAACCCTGTCTCGTAAAAACCAAAAAAAAAAAAAAAAAAGAATGCACTGTGAGCACTCTCCCACTGTCTAGGTCCAAGAGCCTCTCTGACATTGGGGTCCACACATACAAGGAACTCTGAAAATGGTCCTACCACACTCTGTCCCTGCTGTTTGGGCTGCTGACCAGTTTCTGTCTACGTGTGAGGGTCACTCACAGAGAGAACGCATCATGTAAAGATGCTAATGTGATGGGGAAGTCCTGTGTATATGTCAATAAAGCACTGTTGGCCAATAGGGAAGCGAGATAGGGGGGACTAGGAGTCAAGGAGGATGCTGGGAAAGAGAGGCAGAATCAGCCACGATGTAGCTGGCATAGTGGTAAGAGGTCCGGACCCCTTTCTCCGGTAAGAGAAATACTTAGATCAACAATTATGGGGTAAATTCTTAAGTCAGAGATAGCCAGTAAGAAACAAGCAAACGGCCAACAGCTTCATAATTAACACAGTGTCTTGTGTGTTATTTGGGGACTGCAACGCGGCAGATCCCAGGCAACTGGCGAGGAAAGGGAAAGCTATACCCTACACTAATGCATCCATCCACGTGTGACACGAGTCACACATCCAGGGTGTGCCAGTCTCTGGCTACATGAAGGTGTCCTCTGAATGGAGCTCTACTCATTGAGCAGCAAGACTCAGATCCACCTGTGCAGGGCAGGTCCTCCTTCTGGCTGTGGGTAAGAGGGGCCCTTCCAGAATTCTATGCTATTGGGAGAGATGGGGCCAGTGCAAATGAGACCCTCCTAACCGATCATCTCTACATGGTACAAGCTGCAGGCTCATGGCAGGGAACCATCACAGGTCTTAGAACTCATCAGAGACCACAGGCACCAGCTTAGTTCAGGAGGAAGTAGCTCAGAGCCTGGATAATTAGGAACCACATGATGCAGAGAGAATCCTTGCCTTCTAGGAGCTCCAAGACTGGTTTTGTCAACTTCCCACAAGCCCAGGCATGTGGGGCTTCACCTGCTCTCCTGTGGCCATGTGGTCTGTTCTATCATAGTCAGGGATTCCAGCCAATAGGCTTTACTAGCTCGTAGCCCATGGGACAGAAGGTTCTCCAACACAGTCAGCCAGGAAATCCCTCTGGGGAACACGGGAATGAACTTAAGTGCCAAGGCATTGCTCTGACCTTGATGTCTGTCTCCTGATAACACCACCATACACTATTGTACCCAGGGGGGGCCTCTGAAAGCTAAGGAATAGGGGACACTATGTGCAGCACCCCCTGCAATAACAACCTGTGCCAACAGCTGTCTACAAGTCATGATGCAACCATACAATGCAGACTCAGCTTCATTTATTCAAAGCAATGTGTTTGGAGATGGATGAAACTGGTGAATTACCAGGAGGCTCTGGAAATATCGAGTGGGGATCACTAAGTTATCTTGCCTACTGTAGTGGTTTGAAAAAGAGTGACCCTGATAGGTTCATATATTTAAATACATGATCAGTAGAGAATGGTACTACTTGAGAGGGATTAGAAGGTATGGCCTTGTTGGAGTAGGGCTAGCCTTGTTGGAGGAAGTGTGTCACTAGGGGTAGGCTTTGGAGTTCCAAAAGCCCAAGTGACTCTCTCTCTTCCTGCTGCCTGCAGATCTGGATGTAGAACTCTCAGTTCCTTCTCCAGAACCATGTCTGCCTGCACACCTCATGCTTCCCACCATGAGGCTAATGGATTAGAAACTGTAAGAAAGCCCCAATTAAATGCTTTCCTTTATAAGAGTTTCCAAGGTCATGGTGTCTCTTCTCACCAGTAGACATTGACTAAGACACAAGTTTGTACCAGGGACTGGGGTATTACCGTGATAGGCCTGTGTTTTTGTTTGGAGGCAAATGGCTGTCTTAGTTAGGGTTTGTGATGGTTTGAAAGAAAATGTCCCTCAAAGGCGAAAGAAAATGTCCCTCAAAGGCAGTGGCACAGTTAGAAGGTGTGGATTTGTTGGAGAAAGTGTATCCTTGTGTGTATTTTGAGGTCTCCTTTGCTCAAGTTTCCCTCAGGGTGACTATCAGTTCACATCCTGCTGCCTGCAAGATGTAGGACTCTCAGCTACTCCAACATCATAACTGCCGGCATTCCACCATGCTCCCCACCATGATGATATTGGACTGAACCTCTGAAACTGTAAGTAAGCCACCCCAATTAAATGGTTTTTTGTAATAGTTGCTGTGGTCATGGTGTCTTTTCACAGCAATAAAAACCCTAAGACAGAAGTTGATATCAGGAGTAGGGTAGTCCTGTGCTAGGCCTGACCATGTGTCAGCTTGGAGGAATTTGAATTTTGGTATTTTAGGTCATGAAAGCAGTAGAATGCTTTAAACAGTGTTTAATGGCCCAAACCAATAGGACATTAAAGACAATGGTGCTAAAAGTTATTTGAACTGTTGGGGGCTTACTCAAGAGGTTTCAGAGGAGAAGAGTTTTAGTATATTATCTAGAGATATTTCTTTTGATATTTTGATGAAGAAAAGAGCCACTTTTTTGAACTGTCTGAAGAGTCTGCCTGAGGCTAAAGTGAAGAATTTTGGATTAATTTCATTGGCGGAAGAAATCTCAAAACAGCCTAGTATAGATTCTGTTTTGTGGTTACTAGTAGAGGCCATCGTGTGAAGCTGTGAAGATGGAGCCTGGATTGCCTTGGAGAATCTAAGATGTTAGAGATGCCAGAGCTGTGGGATTCCTGCCACGGAACGCTGCTAACAGGGAGTGGAGCCAGCCCAAGAGAAAGAAGTGTGTTACAGTCAACAAAGCTGAGCAGAGTTGGAGATCTGAAGAGCGTTTCAACATCAGACACGGAGATGCAGAGTTTAGAGTCTGCACAGTTGGTTTTCAGTCTTCCTTTTGTCCAGTATTTTCTCTCTTGGCTCCCTTTCTTGCATTTTGGAATGGTTAGGCATATCCTGTGCTATTATGTTGGAAGTATGTGGACTGCTTTTTTATTTTGATCTTTACAGGGGCATTACAGTTAAGAGGTTTCCATGTATCTTAGAAGAGACTTAGGGCTTTAAAAACATGAATTTGAGACTGTTATAGACTATGGGGATATTTGGAGTTCGATTGGATATGTTTTTGCATTATGATATGGCTATAAGCCTTTGGTAGCCAAGGACTGGGATGTGGTAGTTTGAAAGAAAATGGCCATTAGGAGTCATGGCCTTGTTGGAGGAAGCGTGTCCCAGTGAGGACTTTGAGGTTTCTTTTGCTCAAGCTTCCTCGGGGTGACTGTCAGTTCACATCCTGTTGCATGCAAGATGTAGCTGTCTCAGATTCTCCAACACCACATCTGCCTGCATGCTGCCATGCTCCCTGTCATGATGATAGTTGACTGACCCTCTGAAACTGTAAGCAAGCCACCCCAATTAAATGTCTTCCTTTTAAGAGTTGCCATGGTCATGGTGTCTCTTCAAATCAACAGCAAACCCTAACTAAGATAGGGTTTTTTACTGCTATGCCTAAACACCATAACCAAAAAGCAAAGTTGGAGAGGACAGGATTTATTTGGCTTACATTTCTACATCATAGTCAATCACTGGAAGAAGTCGGAACAGGAACCCAAGCAGGGCTGGAACCTGGAGGCAGGAGCTGATGCAGAGGCCATGGAGGGGTGCTGCTCACTGGCCTGCTCCCCGTGGTTTTCTCAGCCTATGTCAATTCCAGAACCCAGGATCACTAGCCTAGGGATGGCACCACCCACCATGAGCTGGGCCTTCCCCATTGATCACTAAAGGAGAAAATGCTTTATGGCCAGATCTTAAGGAAGCATCTCTTCAAATGTAGATCCTTCCTCTCTGGTGACTCTAGCTTGCGTCAAGTTAACACTCAAAAATCAGCCAACCTTTTGTCAACTTGACACACAAGTACATCACTATTAAGCCATAACCCTCCCTTTCTTATTCATCCCCAAGATCTCACACTGAAAACATAATTAACTTTAAAACACTACTACACTCTTTACAAATACAAACACATTAAAATTTCAGTTCCTTCAAACTAGCAAATCTCCTTTAAAATCCAAAGTCTTTTAAAACTCAAAGTTTCTCAATTATGGGCTCCAGTAAGCCACTTTCTTGCTTCAAGAGGGGAGCTGTGGAATAGCCCCCTTATACACTGTGAAGACTTGCCACGCAGATTGGTTTAATAAAATGCTGATTGGCTGGTAACCAGGCAGGAAATATAGGTGGGACAACCAAACAAAAGATAGTAGGAAAGAGGGTGGAGTCAGAGGAGTTGCCAGGAGACACAGAGGGAACCAGACATGCTAGAAAACAGGTATGAGCCATGTGGCAAACATAGATTACTAGAAGTGAGTTAATTTAAATTGTAAAAGCTAGTTTTAATAAGCCTGAGCTACAGGCTGAGCATTTGTAGTTAATATAAGTCTCTATGTGTTTACTTGAGAGGTGCGGGTGGGATAGAAAGTTCCACCTATGGGGGAAAATTCAGAGTATAGTCACAATCAAATCAAAGCTAAATTAAATCCAACCATCCAATGACTGGGATGGATCTACTCACGATCTTCAGAACACCTCCAACAGGCTTGCGTTACTCCTCTATCTCTGCCCTCTGCAGCACACACAGCTTGTCCTCTTGGCTCCTCTCCACTGCTGCTGCTCTTGGTGGTCATCCCAGGGCACTGGCATCTCCAAAACACTTCCGGTCTTCTGCTGCAACTGGGCTGCGCTTTCACCAAGCCCATCTCTCTTCGTGATGCCACACCTCTACTTTTCTGTGTGACCCCTTCAATCCTGGACCTTCAACTGCCACTAAGCCTGCACCTTCACCAAGAGTCTCTCATAGTGCCAAGCCTCAGCTGCTCCCCATGACCCCTTCACGCCTTCAAAACCAGCACCGCCTGGGTGACTCTCACACATTACCAGGTCCAGCTGCCCGCACGAGGTACAACGTGCAGCTGTCTCTGGAATGTAGCTTCTCTGTGCTCTCAGAAAATGCTTCCCAGAAGATTTCACTTCAGTGATGGCTGGTCTCATCTTAATCAACACTAATTTCTTAGCTCCAGCCAACCAGCATCAAGTATCCCAGCAAAGCAAAGTTTCACTTTAGTAGTTCTGGTACCTTGTTAATCACGGCTGATTCTTCAGCCCCAGCTAACCAGAACCATGGGATCTTAATTCAAAAAGAACAAACGGCCCTGATAAAGTCTTTAACTTCCCTCTGAAACTTCACAAGCCAGGTCTCCATGCCCTTCTCTCAAGGTTCGTATCTTCCAAGCTCCCACAGAACATCCCATGGAGCTCTTAACATTCAATGTCTCTTCTAGCCCAAAGTTCCAAGTACTTCCACAATCCTCCCAAAAACTCGGTCAGATCTGTTACAGCAATACTCCACTCCGCTGGTACCAACTTGTCTTAGTTAGGGATTCTACTGCTGTGCCTAAATACCATAAGCAAAAACCAAGCTGGAGATGAAAGGATTAATTTGGCTTACACTGTTCATCATTGGAAGAAGTCAGGACAGGAACTCAAACAGGGCAGGAACCTGGAGGCAGGAGCTGATGCAGAGGCCATGGAGGGCGCTGCTCACTGACTTGCTTCCCATGGCTTGCTCAGCCTGCTTTCTTACAGAACTCAGGACCACCAGCCCAGAGGCTGAATCCTCCCGCACTGATCACTAACTAAGAAAATGCCTTACAGCTGCATCTCAGACGGCTGTCCTTCTGCTCTGATGGCTCTAGCTTGTGTCAAGTTGACACACAAAACCAGCCAGTACAACGGAACACACTGGGACTTTGGATTAGAAAAGCGACTGGACACTTTAAGTGAGATTTAATGGGCAATCCTAAAAGGAGCATGGAAGACAGTGGTGAGGATGATTTGAACTGCAGGGGTCAGAATCAAGAAGTTTCAGGTGGAAAGAATATCAGTAAGTGGCCTAGAGACCATTCTTGTGATATTTTGGCAAAGAATGCAGCTGCTGTTTGTCTGAAAAGTCTGCTTGAGGCCAGATTAAAGAGTTTTAAATTAACAGCTTTGATAAAGCTGTTGATGCAGATCTATAATGAAAGGGAAAATGCAAAATGTAGAGAGTAATGCGGCTAAATCCAGCACTCAAGGACATGAAAAAACCGTTTAAACCATTGCTCCTAAATGGAATAAAGGGAGTGATGACCTCAGGGCAAGGCCCCACCCAGCTAAGCTTCTAACAAGTTAAAGGAATTAAAGAAAGCTTAAACAGTGGAGGAAACCATTGAGAACAGAAAGCTGATGAAGATATAATCGAATGAGGAGTCAGGGCCCAGACCTAGCGAGCTCAGAACTTGGCAGCTCTGGCCATGTGGTTCTGTCTTTAGAGTCAAGGATGCAGGAAATGGGTTATGCAATCTCCCTCCATGGCTAGGGAAAAACCTCCCAGGCCAGTCATGTGACATAGGTGTCCCTCCAGGAGGCCCAGAGAGGCCATTGCATGAAGCTGTGAATATGAAGCCCAGATCGCCTTGGAGACCCCCAAGATGTTGGAGAAGCCAGAGTTGTGGGGTACCTGCCAAGGAAACCTGCAGACTGTGTGTGGAACCAGCCCAAGAGAGAGAAACATGCAGTCAACAAAGCTGAAGGGATTTGGAGATCTGAAGATCACTTTGGCATCAGGGAGATGCAGGGCTGAAGTTTATCCAGCAGGTTTTCCTTCTTGCTTTGGTCCAGTGTTTCCTCACTATGCTCCCCTTCCTGCCTTTTTGAATGGCGATGTATATCCTGTGCCATTGTATGTAAGAAGTTTGTGGTCTGGTTTTTGATTTTTCATGGGATTACAGTTAAGAGACTGTCTTTAAGTCTCAGAAAAGACTTTGGACTTTTAAACAGTGTTGTGATTGCTACAAACGACGGGGATTTCTGAAGATGGGCTGAGTATATTTTTACATTATGATGCGTTACAAGTCTATGGGGGCTATGGTGTGCAGTGCGGTGAGGTTTGAGTATGAAGCGCCCTCACAAGCTCAAATATTTAAATGTGTGGTCATCGGGGAATGGCACTACTTGGGAGGGATTAGGAGGTGGGGCCTTGCTGGAGTAGATCTGGCCTAGTTGTGTCGCTTGGGAGGGGGAGTGGACTTTGGAATTTCAAGCCAGGCTTAGCAGCTTTCTCTTCCTGCTGTCTGCGGACCCAGATGTGGAACTCTCAGCTCCTTCTCCAGCACCACGGCTGTCCGCCTTCATCTACACTTTCTGCAATAAGGCTAATGGACTAAACCTCTGAAACTGCAAGAAAGCCCAAATAAATGCTTCTTTCCTTTATAAGAATTTCCATGGTCGGGGCTGGAGACATGGCTCAGAGGTTGAGAACACTGGCTGTTCTTTCAGAGGTCCTGAGTTCAGTTCCCAGCAGCCCCGTGGTGGCTCCCAGCCATCCGTAATGAGATCTGGCACCCTCTTCTGTTGTTCAGGGCACACATGTGCGGAACCAGGCGGGAAATCACGTAACAAAATGGCACCGACACACAGGGTGAGAATTTCCACGCAGAACTTGACAAAAGCTTAAGAAAGGGATTATAAAAACAAAAGAACAGAGGCAAGCAAGGCTTCTTGGTAGCTGCGTTTTCTCACGTGGGCTCTGTTTTGCTAGAAACAAGCAGAGACTCATGCTGCTCTGTCGCGTCTGCTGCGCGGCCTGTGTCCGAGAACGTGCGGAGGGTGTCGGGGATTGACAACACAGAGACTCGTTCAACGATGTAAAGAAAACTTTAAGCAGGCCCCAAAAAGGTTCAAGAAAACTTCCTAAGAAAAGCTCCCACCAGAGAAGCTTCTGCTCTCTCCTCTACCCCTCGCTGGTTCTGCTCTGACTCCAGAAACTGATCTGGGCGTGGCAGAAGAGGCGGTTAGTCTCTGGACAAGGTCGAGCTCAGGGTGCTTTCTGCGGGCAGGCCTTTTCCAGGAACTTAATGCCCCCAGGCATTGTATTGTTTTTAGTAAACATTGTCTTACAGCTGCCTACTCCCAGGCAGAAGGGGAAGTGGGTCTGTGCTCAAGGTCTGGTGTTCCCACACTGCTCCTTTAAAGGAAGTTTCCTGACTCAACATAAGTGGCAAAAACAACAGGGCTCAAAATGAGGAGAAGCTGGCGCCAGAAATTGCCAGCACACTGCATGGCAGATTTAGCTTCTACTCATAAAGGTTTAAGAGCCGAGGCTGTGAACACAGCTCCCGGTGCTGGTGGTAAACTTACAGCTGCCATGTTGGGAAGCCAGCGGCTAAAACACCTTCTAATTTCAGCAATGCTATATAGCAGATATAAGACTCATGGCCAAAAAAAGATAAAGATTTACAGTAAAGATAGATTCAGATGAAGAAAAAACCTCTAAAGGGTTTACAGTGTGTTTGAAAATATACATATGCTTGGGAGAGGGGAAAAAAATAAGTGGTTAAAAAAGAAGTAGAGTGGCAGGGCGGTGGTGGCTCACGCCTTTAATCCCAGCACGCGGGAGGCAGAGGCAGGCGGATCTCTGTGAGTTCGAGGCCAGCCTGGTCTACAGAGCGAGTTCCAGGACAAGCTCCAAAACAATACAGAGAAACCCTGTCTCGAAAAACCAAAGGAAAAAAAAGATGGAAAATGCACAGAGTCTGGATACTGTACGCTATTGTTTTGTCTTTGAATTGTTCAACTGCTAAGGAAGGAACAACTGCTAAAAGATATTTTGGTTTATTGATACAAATTTAAGGTCGGTTTGGTTAAATTTTTATTTCTCCTCTTTTAGGCATTGTGTTTATACAGCTCTTTTAAAAATATATAATTAAATAAGATGATAGTCACCTATAATAGTCAAAACTTACAGTTAGGTTAGTTAGGTTTTCTAGATATAAAGAGATATTTGAAATGGATAGATATTCTTCAAACCTTTCAAACACATTTAAAATGGTTTATTAGGGTTTTTCATGACAGTGAGACACAACTGCTCCTGGAAACACCAATTGCTTCAAGAGAGGAAGCTGGGCATCGAAGAAACTCGTTGTGGAGTTTGCCTTCAACATGGCAAGACTAGCCATTTGGGCAAGAAACTGGTCTTGCCTGGACTGTTTACTGTATGATGTATAAACTGAACATACAGGACCCACAGGAAAGTGACTGCTGAACTTGATGGACAGTCCTGCAGGGTTCCTGCTTCATGGAAGAGTCTGCCAGACATTCTGTGGGACACAGAGAAAAATGACTGACAAACTGCCAATGTAGGCCGACAGTTTCAAATTTCCTGCTTCACTGAGAAGTCTGCCAGACACACTATGGCCTATGGGCTGAAGATGGATGCTCCAACATTACAGAGGAACTTTGAGTGACTGTCCAGGTAGCGAGAAGTCTCTGTCAACTCTAGAGTTTACATATTATCCTTCTGCGGTCTTTAATGGAGTTGAAGACAGATAGTCATGGTTATAGTTTTCCTTAGTTGTGATAAAAGATAAGCTACATATAAAACTTTAGACTCACAAAGATAGGATAGATAGAATGTCTTCTTTAAGTCTTGCCAAATATTAATGGACTAAATATTGTTAACTATAGTTCTTATTTGATAACTGTTTTGCTATATATATTTTCACTATGTTAAAGTTAAAACCTTTCTTTTTATTTAGACAGAAAAGAGGTGATGGGGATGTCCTTCTGTATATATATGTTTTTCTTATTGGTTGATGGATAAAAAACTGTTTGGCCAATGTGGCAGAAAGATAGGCTGGGCTCAGAGATGAGGAGAATTCTGGGAAACATAGGCAGAGTCAGTCACCATGTAGGACACCAGAGGAGTAACAGGTCCGGACCTTTCTCTGGTAAGATAAGACCATATGTAAATACTTAGATTAATAGAGATGGGTTAATACTTAAGATTGAGCCAGCCAGTAAGAAGCCCTAGTCATTGGCCAACAGTTTATAACTAATATAGCATCATTTGGGGGAAGGCAGCTGCAGAACCAGGCAGGAAGTCCTATAACATACATGCAGGCAGAACACTGAATACATGATAAATAAATAAATAAATCCTTTTTTAAAAGAATTTCCATGGGCATCATGTCTCTTCACAGCAATAGAGCACTGACTAAGGAACCTACAATCAGGAAGAAAATATATATATATTATATATATACATAATATATATACAATACACACATACACACACACACACACACACATATATATATATATATACATATATATATATATATATCCTTTTCAACCAGAACAGAAGCTGAATAGTAGGCAAATGAGGAGCTTTTAGAAGGTGAAATGTGAACAGATTAAAACAAAAATCATCTGAAGCCATGACCAAATCCAGCAAATCCA